TTTCCCAAGGAAATTCTAAGAGTAAATTAAACAGGATCTGGAAAAGCATGGTGTGATTTAAAAGCTAAGGTTGATCTGTTATCATTCACTTTTAGAAACATAAATACTCTGGGGAATACTATAAAAGCCACTGTCAACTGGAACTCACTTGTTCATGCCTTTTTCCTCTAAGTTGATCAAATCAGATTGAACCTGGGGCTCTAAGCTGGTGCAACCTTCCAAAGCATTCTTTTCTAGCATGTTCTGTGACAATAGATTGCCCTCTTCTTAAGGTCCTTTTCATCCTCCTCACTAATTTCCTCAATTCTAGGGGTATCACAGTCCGTATGCCTTTAAGTCTCTCTCTAAGCTTTGCTTCTTCTCGATAATCTACCCGGACTCAGGACAGGATAAGACGTGTGAGTGCACATTGAAAAACATTCTCAAATGAATAAAACAGAAAGGGACAGTTTGTTATCCCTAAATTCACCGTTGTTGATGAGAAAACTGAATATTTGATTCTTTAGCTTGCTCACAGGCTATAGTCTCTGTGTTCACCAAATGCTAACATAACAAATACTTCTGCAGAGTGATTGGCTTAAATTGTTAAAAAAAAAAAAAGACAGAAATGTCCCTTTAATAAAGTTGACTTCAGAACCAAGTAAAGGTATCTCTTAAGGCCCCATCCTACTGCATGAATAATTTAGGACAAAGACACAACACTAACTGCTTTGAGCTGAAGTGCTGGTGGTGGTGTTCAGTGTGCACCTGCAGGGAGTGTTGTGGGAAGTGCTGGGGTTGGCATCACACAGTGTGCTGGGGTCAGCCTACCCAGTCTGTATCTGTGAATGGTGTTCATTGGGATGGAAGGCCTTCACCTTTATTATGTAAACAGCAATAATGATCCTGATTTACAGGAACTAAATCTGCATCAGTCAAGCAACAGAGTCTAAACTGGTACCTTCAAAAAATGCTTACACAAAACTAAGACGCTCAACTCCAGACAAATAAGATTTGACAGCCCTCCCACCAAGTTGTATTCCCATCACTCTGACAACTTACATGCCACACCGACAAGACACCCTTATACAACTGTAAAGCTTGAGAAAGACCAAAAACATTCAATAAATTAGTTTTTAAAAGTAAAAAGTTACTTGCTGGCTCTTTAGGAAATAGAGACCAGGGATATTTCATTAAACCCATTAAAAAATTCTTTGGAACATTTTACGCATATCCATTTTTTTTTCCTTCTGCAGTATGTACTTAAACAATGGGATAGACATGTGAGGAAAGAAAGACTTCAGCCCTGGAGATCAAGGACAAGGACATAGTGTAAAGTCAGTATTTTAAAGAGACCTAAGGTGGGATAATTCAAATCTTGTCCTTTGGCGTTAAACACTAAAATCTAGAGCCCATTTCAAAGGTGGACTAAATTCCCAGGCTGAAAGTAATGGCTGTGGCTGGTCCTATATGTAAATATCATCAGTACCAGCCAGGCCAGGACCACCACCAGGCAATTGATGATCAGCCATTAAAAGGGAAATGTTTACTTATTCATGGCGACTAGTTTTCAGAAGGGAAGGCAAAGAGGTCTGATTTTAAATGCTGCCTTTTCTTTGCATCCTATGGCCAATCAAGATCATCCACTTCTTCTTGGAGGTGTCAGTAGCCCATTTTTATTTTCCTTTCGCTGTTTTAACCAGCATACTGATAAAGAGAAGAGAGCAGTTGCTATGAGGCACAGAAAAACGTCCTGGCAGCTGAGAGCCCTCCATCTATCAAGGGGAATTTGCAATGTTGCCTCTCTTCAATACTGTATAGATTTGCAGGATTTTGTGAAACACTTAACCAAAATGGAAGGATTTAAAAACAGAATGCAAGATATAGACACAATCATGTTTTTTTAAAAATCAAGATACTTTAGTTTTATTTCAGAATTTTCTAGTCTTAAATTCTTAAGCATGTAGCAGTGATGATCAGCTCTGGATGATACATTTAAAAGGATGATTAGCACACCCAGACAGCTTCACTACATCACAGATGCCTAAGGATCAACGATGCTTCCTGGAATTGAGACACACCACATTAAATTATGGGGAAACAAATACTTATCCAATGAAATAATAATATTCACAGGCTACGCTGAGTTGTAAAATAAGTTCAAGTGTTTGTAACACCAAACAACATTTCAAAGCCTGAACAGGAGGTCTAATAAGATGTTTACTCTTGATTCTAAGAATATCTTGTGAAATGCAGACAATCCTTATGTATATTTCCAAGATGTCGGAAAAATGGTGTCTTGACCTTTTCTTTCTGCTGACCCAATGTCGAATTGATTTGATACTCCCATGTCTTCAAGTTGCAATAAAAAGCCCGGTTCCCTAGCAATCCTGATTCTTTCCTTTCTGCATTTCTGCAGAAGGCAGGGTTGATACTGAACACCCTCCTGGAGCCCCTGGGCTCTGGGTCTTGGAGGTAATTTAGATAAAGCCCCCCAGCTGAGCTGAGGGGAAGGCTGGTAAACAGCTGAGATCTCCCAGGGGAGGAAGAGGGACTGCAAGGAGGGACCCAGCTGCTGCACCTTCTGGAACCAGGGGCCACAGGGTTTTTCCAGGGATTTTTCAAAAACGCAGACTGGGACCCAGAAACACTTCCTGGGTCGGGGAATGTGAAGTTAGAAGTAATATTTGTAACTAATCCCAGGGCCAAGTCTCCCTGGGGGAGCACTTGGCTAGATAGATGGGGGGGGGGTGTATCTCTGCTTTGGGAGCCAAACACTAAGAGTAAAAGCAAATATTTGATGCTGAAGAGCTCTTAAGAGCTGAAGAGTGCCATTTACTTATTTCTACACGTCAGTGTGGGCTTAGGATGTTAAATAGATTAAAAGGCTAAGAGAGGTCAGTTACCCAAGGCAAGACTCTTCTTTTGCTTCTCCTGACTTGTCTTCGGTCCAAAATTGTAAGGCCCTCGCACCCACTCCTGTGGAGGGCCCTTGGGAAACCCAGAGATAGATGCTGCCTCCTCTCCTAGGGGCAGGCGCAGTCAGAGTCCTCACGGTGAGAATTCAAGGACCAGGGAGGAAGGGGCCCAAAAGGCCCCTGCTAAACGTCACCACAACGATGGAATCCTAAGGCTGACGGGGCCTTCAGATGAGCGAGATGGGAGACTCAGAGCAGGGAGGGGGTGAGAGCCAGCCAGGGCCAGAGGTTCACAGGCCGGAGCCCCTTCCACAGCACGAGACCTCGAAGTGCTGGCAGGTCCGAATTTGGGAGTCTCTCCTAAGACTTCTCTACGACTGCCCGCGTCGGCGCCCTCCCTCCGCTTCCAGCTGGGGAAATAGGCTGCCAGGGATTCCAGGCGTCGGGCTCCAGCCAGAGGCCGGTGCACGAGGCCCTGGGCTGCTGCTCTACCTACCCGCTCTCCCGGAAGCCACCGCCTGGGTGCGGGGGCTGGGTGCGCGCCGGGTTTCCTGCCTCCCCCGCCCCTTGCTCGCCCTCTGGCCCCGTCTGCAGGGAGAACAGCCAAATCATTTCAATTTAATCTTATTTAAAAAGACATAACTAATAAATCTATTGCCAGGGCCGCGGAAAGACGGCCAGCAGAGTCGATCTTGCTCCCAATCCCATTCAACCCCATTGAAAACCATGACAACACCGGACAAGCTCCGATTTATCCTGGCGCGTTAAAGCGCATTGTGAGCAGGCGTCAATCACGCATTATTCCGAACTGAACAAATGCAAAATCTTGACTGGAACAAATGCTTCCAACAGGTCCGGGGCGTCGAGCTCCATTTCCCTTTTGTCCGCGGCCTAGCAGTTGGCCAGTATTGGGGTTGCCTCCGCCCGACCACCCAGCGCGCAGCGCAGCCCCGGGCACCTCCGGCACGCTTGGTAGGGATCCTGCTGGGGAGGGTGCGCGGGACTGCGGCCGCCGCGTTCGGAATGGGTTCAAATTCAACCTCTGCGGAGCCCAGGACTTCGAGTGGCGCCATCCAAGTGCAGCGCCCATGAGTGAAATTTAGCAAATACCCAAACCACTAGCTGCAGGAGAGGCCTCAAACAGGGCGCGGTCAGGGCCAGGCCATCGGCCAATAAGACGTATCCATGCCCGCCAGCTCTGAGCCGCCTACACAGATCGTTTTCTGGGTGGTACGGTAAGGGTTGGAAGATTAGGAGACTCTCTAGACCGGCTGGATCATTAGCCTGGCGGGCCCAGTTCCCGAGCCAGGCCCGGCAGCCGTGCTGGGGTATGCAGCTCTGGGAGCTCCCGGCCGGGTCCTGCGCGCTGGCTGCAGCCCACGCCCTGAGACTGCAGTCGAGGCGAAGGGGGCTGAGGCGCACTAGTCTTGCGAGAGCTCCTGGAGACGCCCGGGAGGTCCCACGGTCCTCCTAGGCCGCCCTGAGAACCCCCGCGGTCCAGGGGACCCAGAATGGGCAGGGGCCGGACTTTGCAGAGCTCGGTCACCGAACCGGGACCTGGCAAGCTACAGCGGGCCGTCAGCCGCCTCCGTTTTGCTTGCTTGTGGGACCGGGCATGTAGCTGGGGATTCCGTTGGTCCCCAAACCTTTCGCCAGCGCAGCTGCCAGGCCTCTCCCCGAGCCCTCCGGGAACTTCTCGCCCTGAATCCTTACAGGGCCCCCACCAAAAAGAGAAACGGAGCGCGCCAGAGTTTAACGGCGCTTTGTAAATCACTTTCCGGATCATTGCGGGAAACCAACACTCCAGCAAACAAGCTCGAGGAATAAAGCAAACAGGGAATAAATTCCTGGGTGCCCATAAACCCACCCATGCCGCCTCCACCCCTCCCGGCCCTCCCGCGGGGCCCGGCCCCAAGTCAGCTGGGGAGGAGGAGGAAGCCGGAGCTAGGTCGGGCGGGTGGCGGCCACCGCTCGCCACCCAAGATGTTATTCACTGGTAACAATCCCCATTATCTGTCCCCACTTTGGGCTAATCAGACGGAATCCCTAATGCCGAAGCCTGCTTCCTGCCGCCTCTGGGAGGTAACGGGGCACCGAGGGGCGGGGCGCGGGGCGGGGCGGGGGCGGAGGTGGCACCTTCCGGGCTCGCCCCAGCCGTGGTCCAGCGCTGATTCAGGTACTTAACACCCCGGAGCCCCGGACCTCGGCTTTCAAAGCGGCCCGGGTGGGGAGAGCTGTTTATATAAACAGGGATTCTGCTGTAAATGCGCTAATATCCCCGCGGCCTGCGCATGGCGAGCGCCTCCCACGCCCATCTGTAGGAGCGGCGTCCCCGGCCGCCCCTCGGCCCCCAGTCTGCCCTGCCCCTGCCCCCGCCTCCGTCCCCTCCGCGGCCATGGCCACCTCTGGACGCCTCAGCTTCACCGTGCGCAGCCTCCTGGATCTGCCGGAGCAGGACGCGCAGCACCTGCCTCGGCGGGAACCAGAGCCGCGCGGCCCCCGGCCCACCCCCTGCTCCGCCTGGCTGGAGTCGGAGCGCGGCCACTACCCCTGTGAGTGAGCGGAGGAGTGCGGTGGCGCGGGGGAGGGAGGCGGGCAGAGCCAGGCGCCCGGCCCGTGCGGGACAGGGAAGCCGACATCCCAGCTCCGACTCTGGACTGCCTCAGCTTTGGAACCGGAGGCTGCGGCCTCCTCCAGCCCCTGTCCTGTGCGCCCTGGTCCGCACATCCTGGGAGCAGATCCCTGAGCCTGGCACAAGTGCTCGGGATTGGAGGGTTCCTAGGAGTCATGGTATCTGTAACATTCCTCTGACGTGCCTGAAAACACAGCCTTCTCCAGGCCTCCTTAGACCTTGGCTAAGCTGACTTTCCACCCCCCACTAAGGGCTTTGCAACCCTCGGCCTGGAGGGGGCCAGTGCTGGAGGCCCAGCTCATGGTGAATCGCTCGGCCAGCGCAGCGGCCAGGCCGGACATCTGACATTTTAAGAGGTCCCGGGATGGGTTTTTTTGGGGGTACGACCTCAGGCCTGGTGATGAATGTCACTAAATTCGGAGAGGTAGGTGTCCAGTCGTGAACGCAGGGAAAGACGCGGTCCGGCCCTGAAAGCCGCGTGCGGAGGGGTGCGGGCGCCCTCGGGCCAGCGGCTCCGCGTCCCGGGGGACAGGCGTCTCATCAGTCATGTCTCCTTTGCCGTCCTCAGCCTCGGACGAGAGCAGCCCGGAGACCGGCCCGCCTGACTTGTCGCAGCGGCCGTCCGCCCTGCCCGCGTCTCCGGGTTCAGACGCCGAGAAGAGGAAGAAGCGGCGAGTGCTGTTCTCCAAGGCGCAGACGCTGGAGCTGGAGCGGCGCTTCCGGCAGCAGCGCTACCTGTCGGCGCCCGAGCGCGAGCAGCTGGCGCGCCTGCTGCGCCTCACGCCCACGCAAGTCAAGATCTGGTTCCAGAACCATCGCTACAAACTGAAGCGCGCGCGCGCACCGGGGACCGCCGAGCCGTCCGACCTGGCCGCCTGCGCGGAGCTGCACGGCGCGCCCAGCCTGCTGCGCCGAGTGGTGGTGCCGGTGCTGGTGCGTGACGGGCAGCCGTGCGGCGGCGGCGAGCCAGGCACCGCTGCAGCCCAGGACAAGTGCGGCGCGCCCGGGGCCGCCGCCTGCCCCCTGCCGGGCTACACCGCCTTCGGGCCCGGCTCGGCGCTCGGCCTCTTTCCCGCCTACCAGCACTTAGCGTCCCCAGCCCTAGTCTCCTGGAACTGGTGAGGCCGCCGTGGGGGGCAGTCAGGGCTACCTGCAAACTTTTGGCGCTGCTCCTTGGCCGCAGCAAGGGCCACAGTCCAACATCTGGAGCCCTGGGGGCCGCCTCCGTGCGGGCTGCACCTGCCAGGGCGCCAGGATCCCCTGGTCAGCCCGCAGCAGCCGTGGCCAAAGCCTAGCAGGGACCTCTCGCCCAGCTCTCCCCTTTGCCTTGCCCTGGACCGCCAACCCCAGAGCTAGGTTTTATTGCTCGAGTGTTGTTTGTATATTTTTAAATAGCGGTTTGTATGGGAAGCAACTTATTTTTAAAAGAAATAGAGTATTTTGCCTTTTTGTGGTGCGAGAATCCAATGTGAAAGGTTGGGTGCCCTGAGCGCCTGCGGCTCACTGGCCTGGTGGGAGTTCGAAGCGCTCGCGGGCTACGTTAGAGCCCATCGCCTGCTGACTCTAAGGGCAGATCTCAGTGCCCACCTGGCCTTTGGTGCAGAAGAATGAGGGGAGGGGGGCGCCGAAGCTCCCGGGTCCTCTGGCCTTTCAGACCCCAAAAGTCAACCTTGAAGGTCTCAAGGCAGAATGAGCGCTCCAGCGAGGCCGAGTGCACGCGCCCCGGAGCAGCCCTAGCCGCAGGCTGGCAGTCTCCAGGGCTGGGGCGCCAGGACTCAGGGACTGTGGGGCCCCACGTCTGGCCCGCGAAAGCCTCGGTTAGCTGTGATTTCCGGGCTCCTTGGCCAGGCGCAGCCGCCGGATGGGGTGGGCTGGAGTGAGGGCAACCCAGTGAAGAAATGCAAAGCTGGCTGGGAGCTGCCGCCGGAGGGAGGACTGTCTGAGGGAGACTCGGTGGCCCGCCGCTGGGGCAGGCGCCATGAACCACTCTGGGCCCGGGGATGTAGCGTTCCACCGTTCGCACCTGTAACTGCTCCCGCCTAGGCCTCCAGAGCCCTCGGGCCTCCTGGGCCGTCGGTGACTCTCTCCGAGGTGTGACGACCCCGCTCTCCTGCGCCCACTGCAGGGTGCCAGGTGCAGGTTGGGAGGAAGGGCCCCGGGAGATAGGTAAGGAGTGGGCACCGGGCCTGTTAGGCCTTCTTGTCTGGGAAGGAGAAGGGGGAGGAGGTGGTGTTATCACCTGGGTTTTTTTTTGGGGGGGGGTGTAACGGGGTGGGGGGAAGGGGGTAGGGTGTTTGGGTCTCAGCTGCCGGCCACCTTGCCTTCCATATGGATGCGGTTATCTCAGAAGAATCTCGATCCTTAAATCTCCTTTTGTTTTGGGAACTGAAAAGTGCATTGTCAGGCTTGAAAAGGACCTAGACAGAATCCGCACTGTTCCCATTCAGGACTCTGTTTAATCAGTCCCTGGTGACAACGGAGGGGGTGCTGGGCCAGACAATGGTATCTTTTTAAACCTTGTGGCCTTCGGGAGGACAAAGGGCTCGAATTTTATGGGCTTACCACTTCAATTAGAACAGTGCCAGTGTGCATGGGAGATTATCAGATTTGTATCATAAAACCCCTTCCCAATAAATGATTGCTGGGGAGGGAGTCCAACGTTGGAGGACATATATTGAGACCGGCCAGAGCAGATGGGAAGAAAAGGGAGACCAGATACTGGAGAAGGCCTGCTGTGGGTCTCGCCTCTGCGGTCAGCTGTTGGGTGCTTGGCTCTTGCACGCTCTTCCTCCTCCAGGGGTGTTTTCTCTGTGAGTGGGGTAAAGATTTGGACTTGCTTTCTGCCATGGGTGGGCACCAAGACCCCTGGATATTTTGGGGGGGGGAGTGAAAAAAGGAAGCATTGCCTGTTCAGTTGCCTTTTCTTTTCCTGGAACTCCAGAAAAAAGGGCACCAGGAGGGTGCAAAGCAGACAGGGCTCATGAAATACGACGTCTGCGGGACTAAGGGATTGGCCCATGGAGACAGCCTCTCCTCAGTCCAGTCCATCCTGGTCCTAGGTGTGAGAGCCAAGTTCTAACCGGTGAGATACATTGGCAGCTTCCCAGAGCCTCCGTGGGACCGGGCCCAGCCAGCCAGCTTGTGTCCTGGGCAGGAGGGCAGCCGTTCGTTTGCTGTGAAGAGAACACTAGGGGCAGGACAGATGGTGTTACCTAATCTCCTTTCTTCCTTGTCCTTTAGGCTAAAGTCCTTCCTTTACAGGTGAAAAATCACAGGCCCAGTTGAAAATGCACTCCCATCACCACCAACGCCTTTCAGGAACCCAGCCTGTAGTTCTTCTGTGCATGCCTGTGATAAGCAGGAAGACAAGGGTCCATTTCTTTTCTGAATGGGAAGACCACTTCTAGGTTCTGACAGAAGCTCTACCAGCAGCTGTGAGAATGGTTAGGATTCCCCTCCCCAGACGAAGGTGTTCCAAGTTGGTCACCCATCACCAAAATCCAAAGGCCGATTCAAACTCACACTTTTACAGAAACGTACTGTGTTCCAGGTGTTTTCCTCAGGCAGTTGATCCTGCAGAAATTTTATGCACTGCATTTATAATACTCCGCCTTAAGAAACTGAGGTTCAGTGGATGGGGCTAACGCCTTGCCTAAAGCAGTCTAACCTCAAAGAATGTTACCATTGTCCTCAGTTTAACAGACACCGAGCCACCCCAAAGCTGTCTTTAGGGACAGTGGTAATCTTGATGTGGTTATGTTCACACACACACACACATCACCACTATCTGAGCTGTTTTAGGGATAGCCTGGAAGGATGAGAGCTCACCCAGAGCACCCACACAACTCAGGGCCACACACAGACTCTGATTACAAATCACAGTAGTTGCTAGTGTTTGCTGATCTCTCCTCTCCCACAGGCAGTATCCTGAGCTCTGTTCCTCAAAGGATTCCTGCGATCCTCAGGACACCTCTTTGGGATGATAGCGCCATCCCCACTTTACAGATGAGGACGCAGAAGGCCAGAGGGTTTGAAAGTAGCTTGTCCAGGGTCCCACAGCTAGTGAGTGAGCAAGAGGGCCTGCACCCGAGCAGGCTGGCTCCAGAGCAGGCACCTTTGACCACATGGCAGGGATTATTTTCCCATTCTTTGTTTATGCCTTATCTCTCCCAGTCTGGAGCCTTCCTCAGAGGTGCTCCTAGGAAAACCTGTTCTTTAGCATCCTTCCGCCTCCCTGTCTCTGTGTCTGTGCCCTCCCCCTCCCCCATCTACCGAACAGATTTGGGGCGCAGCCTTTGTATTTTCCCGAGGTTGGTGTGTGTGCAGTCTTGTCTAGCTCTCAGTGAAACACAGTTCTTGTCTGCAGGTCACAGTGTTCTGTGACCATCATTCCACCATTCCTCTTCCAGACAACATCTGCTGTTGCTGCTCTCTGGACACCAATCGTGCACTTGTTCCGTGGAGTCACTGCTGGCTCCGATAAGTTCCTCTAAGCGTGGCCCAACCCCCAAACCCGGATCCCGCAGGGCTCTAGGACTTTGGCTTTCCCAGCCCTTTCTCCATTTTTTTTCTCCTTCCCCAGGTCTTCAGTTTTCTCTTTATTATTAAATATCATCCTCTTCACATTTTCTCTTTCTTCTTCCATTGTAAACATTTTCACTTCATCTCACTTAAGTCTCTTGCAGGTGGAGATTGCAATTTTCACTTCAATTTTCCTTCTTTATCGTTCAGAGGATCTTACATCTTAGCACATCTCTTATCTGACCAATTTAGCACTTTAGTATCTTAGATAATGTGCTACTGATGGCTTAGAAGGAAGTTGTTTGAGCCCAGGTTAACCTATACCTTCCCTTCTAACAATGGTGTTGTGATGTTTATTATTCTCTTGCCAAATTGACACAATTAATTTGCCTCCTCTCTCTCTCTGTGCGTGTGTGTCTGTGTGTGTGTGCATGTGTGTGTGTGTGTCACACCGCCGCTAAGTAAAACATTTTTTACTTAGGAATAACATCCAGACAGGATAGTTACAGGTCCAGTGTAGCTTACTATTTTGTTGACATGTTCATCTGTTCTGAGCGCTTTAATTAGCCAATCCAGGTAGGCTAATAGTAAACATGAACAACAGTCAGTCCAAGGCGCTTTGGGAATACTGAGAAATCACTGTCCATTTCCGTGCATGTGATTGCCTTAGCTAGCATTCAAACCTGCGTGAGAGGTCGCACCTCCAGGGCGCCCGGTTCCCTCCCTCCCGCATCCTCACTGGGGATCCTTTTTATGTCCACAGATTTGAAAGTGCTTTCCCCTAGCTGAGAGCTCTGTCTTGGATGGACCAATACCAATTTCTCTCGTGCACACACACTCTCTCTCTCCTTTCATAGGGACTGGATAGCATATTTCAAAGAATGTGCTAGTGAGGGCAGTGGAGTCTGTACATTAAACCAGAGGCAAAGTGTCCCAAAATCCACTAAAAGGGCCCTTGGCTCCCTCCCCTGAGAGGCCTTTTCCTGTTAGACCTCCCTCTCCCAGCTTCGCCAAGGACAGCGCTTAAGCCACTGTTTCTCTGGTCCTGAACAGGTTATCACCTTGGGTTTAAATGGCCTCCCGGGAGGTAAACTCAGTCGGAGGGGCCCTGAATCCTAGCAGGTCGGGTTCTGCCGCAGTCACAGAAGCCTCACTGGGCGACCAGGAGGCTTCCCCCACCCCTTTTTCTAACAACATTGAAATGCAGAGTAAGAGACACAAAACAAGACAAAGGCAACCTGGAGTGGTGAGTAAAGAAACAAGTGCTTTTCAGCGAAGCCGTTTTTACTGCCCACTCGCACTGGGGCTTCAATCACCCGCTGACCAAGTGGGGGAGCCCAATTCCCTGCAGGGAACGCATCGCGTCAAGTTCCAGTTAGCACGTACAGACAGGAGAGGGTTTTCCCATTGCTTATAGCTGTGGCCGAAACACTATCTTAAAGAGGCTAATCATTTTATGAATGTGGGGCTGTACGGGAGCAGAGGGGACTAACGGAATATTCACCAGGATTTTGTTATCCGAAAGATACTACACGTTTCTTCCCTTTCTTCGCTGAACTGTTGCCGATTGAAAGTTTATGAATACTGAAATACTTCAGGTGCGTCTAATAAGTGAACAGCTGATTTCACAATTACAGTTTAATTATACTGATTCTCTAGCAACACATATAATACACATACAGGTAGGGATGAGGCAGACTTTGGAAATGTTGAGTTCTTTTCTCTTCATGAGAAGAACTCCGATTTGCAATCCTACTTGTCAGACCCATGTAGGATGAATATTTTGTTTTCCTGTAAATAATATTTTCTTTGTAAGATAATAAGGAAAACACAGAAATGTGTAAATAAGTTCTCTTCAATCTAGTTGTTTTCATGATGATATTCAGTTTCTCGCTAATAGAA